TATAGCTGATTACGATGCTCCTCAACAACATTTCCAAAACAGAGTTGCAATCCGAGTGGTTTCTCCTCATGTGAATGAATTCGAAATCAAACCTCAAATCATCTCTTTTGTGAAGCAGAACTAGTTTCATGGGACATTTGCCGAGTTCATATGGGCTTTAGTCATTTTCTTTGGGCCCAATCAGTTTTCGATAAACAAAGTCTTAGGTTTGCTGGTTTTGATAAAAGAAGAGCCCATGAAATTTTTGAGTTATACATGCTCAGGTTATCAAAGCTATCGAAGAGGTGTCGGCATTAAGAAATTTTTTAAGGCATTTGTGCATGGCATCAAGTCAAAGAGTTTTTAGCATTAAGGAGGAAATTTTCAGCATTAAGAGGGAGCATATTATGAGTTTTCAGAGTGTTCAGCTTTATGGAGATTTTTTATTTTTTTCATAAGGCTTGGAAGACTCAAAGTAAGTTAAAAAGGGGAAGATTGAAGATGCAATATTTTGTCAAAGATATATGGAGCTGCATAAAAGAATCCTGCAAGAGAAAACGAAATCAGTTAAATAATCAAAGCTTGTAAGCTTAAAAGAAAAAGGAAAAGCAACAAGAAAAGGAAACTACAAGATAATAACAAAAAAGAAAATTTATTCTTATCTTAAGATTAATAAATTGTAAAAGTCATTGGATATTGTTGATATACACTATTTTTTTACTATTTTAGCATACAATGAGCACTAGTTTTTAGTCTTTAAGCATGCATTTTTATTTGTTCTTGACCATTTGCATCTATTTAGAACTTAGAGTAAGTTTAGAAGTTACATTGCTTTGGTGCATTTGGAGTATTTGGCAGATACATTTGAAGTGTTTAGAGGCTATAAGGAGTTTTGGAAAGATCAAGGAGTCAAGCCAAGACAAAGCAAAGAAGAGTCAAGGAGCTAAGATCCATCTCGAGTTGCATACGAGGCAAGGTTGGTCGATATAGAGGCATATCGAGCAGCATACCAGACATGCCAGCCCGGTTCAAACCATCCTGCAAAACACATCACTGAAGATCAGCTCGGATGAACGGTTTCCTTTCATATTCAGCTTCATATCTCTTCATGAAAGTTGTAGACCTGTGAGTTAGATTTCTGGTGGATTTGGTATAAGGTCATTCTGATATGTTGTTGCAGAGATATCGAGGTTTTTGCGAAACCGCTATAAAGACAACATGTCATATGGAGGAGTGTACCAAGTAGGCTGCTCGATATGCATGACTAGAGGTATATCGACGTACATATCGGCCTACATTGGTCGATACACAAGTTACAGGATGCTGTACCGGTCTACATACCGGGCATACACAGCCCGATACACGTTAACAGACGATCGTACCGGCCTGTATACCGGGCAAGGCTAACCGGATACAGCCCATGAAGACGGACGTACTGGCCTGCATACTGCAGAAGGCTAGCCCGATACAAGAAGATGGAGCTCATACCGACCTGTGAATCGGCCTGGATAGCCTGATATAATGCATCTGAACCAACTTTATTCTGGTTTACTCTTAGTTTATTAGGGATTTTCCTCCTACCTATATATATGTTAAGACCTAAAATCATTGGGCGATCTATATTTTATTGTTTCTAGCCTTTAAAACTATAACGCCCTGACCGCCCCTACCGGTGAGCACACTCACGTGCTCTCTCGGGCCCGTGGGCTCCACCCATGTCCAACAGTCGGTGCATTATTTTTCTCGTAGCCCAACCGACTTATTTATTGACCCTGCAATCATCACATGATCTTTTCCCGTGTTTTGGCCTCACTCACACGGTTTCAAGATTCACTTCTCGAAAGGTCACCCACCCTTGTCCGATGGCCAGTGCGTTATTTTTTTCGGAGCCCAACCGACTTATTTACTGACCCTGCAATCACCATATAATTTTCCCCGTGTTTTGGCCTCATTCACAAGGTTTCGAGATTCATTTCCCGAAAGGTCACCCATCCTAGTCCTGCTTCAGCTTAAGCACGCTTAACTCTTGAGTTCTCTCATGCCCACTAACAGAGAAGATAAATATACTTTGATGACATAGGTAGTCAAATCAATTCATGTAACCTTATTCAAATGGGCCGGGCCCGGGTCGTTATAATTCTCCCCCACTAAACGGAAATTCGTCCCCGAGTTCTGATCCGGATGGTGTGAGCTCTAACCCCCAAACCGTAAGACAGTCTCCTGGGACATAACCAGTTTGACTTCCCAGACTCTGATACAACTTGTAACACCCAACCGACCCTACCGGTGAGCACACCTACGTCCTCTCTCGGGCCCGTGGGCCCACCCCTATCTGACGGCCGGTGCGTTAGGAGCCCAACTGACTTATTTACTGACCCTGCAATCACCACATGATATTTCCCCATGTTTTGGCCTCACTCACACGGTTTCGAGATTCACTTCCCGAAAGGTCACCCATCCTAGTCCTGATCCAGCTTAAGCATGCTTAACTTTTGAGTTCTCTCAGACCCACTAACCGAAAATATAAATGCACTTTGATGACATAGGTAGCCAAATCAATCGGTTGGGCTCCAGGAAAAAAAAAACACACCAGTCGTCGGACATGGGTGGGGCCCGAGTGAGGACGTGGGTGTGCTCACTGGTAAGAGCGGTCGGGGGTGTTACAAAAACTCTCTATTTTGAGTAAACATGTAGAATCTTTCTTTGTTGATTGAATTTCTGCACTTCTCTTAATATTTCCTTGTTTAATCTTCTTCCTAGTCATGCTTAGCCATATTTTTCCTTGGATTTTGTGATTTTGGCAATGATTAGTGAATAGTCATTTTTAGAATTTGAGATGAGATAAATTAGGAGGGTTTTATGATTGATTAATGATGTCTTGTGCCTAATCTTATTGTTTCTTCTCTATTTGATGCTTTAATACTAGGTTAGCCTTGATCAAGCTTGCTTAGGTTCTAGCTTTCTCTTATGCCTATGATGTGTTTGTTGAAATGTTGATCATATCATTTAGATGATTTGTTCATCCTAGCCTAAGAGGTTAGATGTCTAGAGAACATTTTTGCTTTATAAAATTGGTTTTGCTTGCTTGCTAATGATTTGGTCACTAATGAGAGTTAGTTCTTGATTAGGTTGTTAGCAAATGGATTTTCACCAAGATATTGGGTTAGTCTTATTTATTTAAATTCTATGCCTATAAAATAGCATTGTTATATGTTTTATGAAGCATCATTGATCATTCTTAGACCTGCCCTACATCAATAACCTCATATTGAGTCCTTCTTTAATCGATATCAGTATCAAGTTCGAATTTCCCTCTTGCTTAGTATTGCTTAGTTTTGCTATTGCTTGTTTGAAGTTTAGTTACTTTTTTAGGATTCTAGTTTTTATCTGTTCTCTGATTTGGTTTGAATTAGATAGTCTATTGCATTTTTATTGTCTTGAAATACCCCAATTGAATTGATACCTCAAATGCTGCAATAACATGAGTGGGTTTAAGTAATTAAAGTAGCAAAACACCTGCATCATATATCGCTATAAATAGATGACCATGATTTTTATAGAAAATCAGAGATTAAGAATTTGAATTTTCTAAACTGAAAGAGTTTTTGGATTTCTTGTAAAAGAAATCAAATTAGGGAGATTACATTTTCCTTTAGAGAGATATTTGTAAGTTCTCTAAACATTGTTTTCTTGCAAATTATCTTTGGAATAAATCTAATTGGGGTTTGAGAATCTATTTGTTAAATACTATCTCTAGAAATTCTTGTTTTTTTTTTTTAAAGTTGTATATATGTAACCTCAAATATAAACTAAACTTTAACAAATATAAGAAGAGTCTGAATGAAATGTAGATTTTTCAGGTTTTCACATGTGATTTTTAAATTCATCTCACATGTTTTATATTTATAATTAGTTTACACAAGACTTTATTCATCTACTTAATAACAGCTTTTTAGTGTTTTAAAATAAATAAAATAAAAAACTTTTGTCATTTCTACTCTAAAATAAATCCTATTTTTCATTATAACAATTAATGTTTTGCCTCCATATATTGCTGCCAGATTACATCCCAATTTTTGACGTACAACAAGTTGCGAAATCGGACGGGAGTGAGAGTCATTCCCAGCACTATGGAGATCGATATGCTGGAAGATTGGTGGAAGCAAGGAAACCTGGTAATGATAATTTCCATAGCGGAATGACTAATTTAATTATCTAAACCAATTCTAATCAATTCAGTAATAAACCGAATTCTACCAAAACAGAAGGTGATAACTGATAAGGTGAGCCTAGATTGATAAAACCAAAGATACGTGTTTACAAAATCTGAGCTTATGAATTTTTTTTTTTTTTTTTTAGTTCCTTTTGTTATGAATTCACTTTTTTGGACTCGGTTGGTTTCAAAGGATAGTAGAAACTCTAATTTGTTTGGCCTAATTCGGTTAGCAGAGGTTTGGTTCAAAATTCTAATTCCTTATTTTATATTTTTCTTCTCCTTATACATTAGTCACTATACTCTGTTCTTTTGTTTATCGCTGCGACTGCGGCAATGAAAGAGAAAATCTTTACAATTGTAGTTGAAGATGACCGCTGGCATTGCTAAAAATGACCGCTGGTGTTGTTAGTAAGACGCTGGAGACACTTTTCGATGATGCGGTCATTCCCGCGGCATCTTTTTCTTTGATCAACAACTCCATTAGTGTCGTTTAGCTTTTCTACTTATTAATATTGTTGTCGTTTTGCTGGGTCGCAGCCGGCGTCTGCGGCAAAGAAAAGAACAAGGCTGATAACGAGAAAAAAAAAAGGAACGACAAAAACTAAACCTAATGATGCCGAGTAGGCTTCCGTCAGAGTTAGAGGAAGAGATACTCACTAGGGTTCCACCTCCATCTCTTACTCGCTTCAAAGCCGTTTGCAAAGAATGGGAGGCTCTTTTCAACGACAAGAGATTCGTCAACAACCACTTAGAAATAGCATGCGCTGCCTCACGCTCAGAGTTCGTATTGCAGACCGATTCCAAGATGTATTCGATAAGTGTCAATCTCAACGACGACGATCCAGATATAAAAGTGCGTGAGTTAGCCTTAGATATTCCCAGTTTAGAACCTAAGCTAAACGTTGTTAGCTGCTGCAATGGGTACTTCTTGTTACGTGACACGGATTATAGAGCCGTGGTTTGGAACCCATGGTTGAAGCAGAGTAGAATGATTGAGGCCAAAGAAAATTTCAGGTTATGTGGCATAGGATACGATAGTTGTAGTCCCGAAAGGATTTACAAGATCGCTGGGTATACTTTCTGCGTTGGTAGACCGATTGCAAGGAAGTATTCTTTTTACCATCATCAAGATACTTCCACGAATAAGGTTAAAATGGTGAAAGAGAAGAAATTGAAGGTTATAAGGCCTCTTCGATTTGTCATCTACGAAACTGCAACCAATTCGTGGAGGTATCTTGACGATGTCCAATCGACAGCAAAGTCCCCAGGATTTTGTGGATCTATAGATTATAATGTGTCCTTAAATGGAAATTTGTATTGGACTGCTGATAATCTGGAAACTTGTTTCATCCGAATGCTCCACTGTTCGAAAGAGATATTGAAGCCCTTTTGTATTCTACCTTGCACGAAGAATGATCCTAACCATAAATTAGGTTCTCATGCCCTCACAGTTTTCAAGGGAGATAGGTTTTCGTTTTTAGAAGAATGCAGTGAAACGAGGAAGATTGAGATCTGGGTGACAAAGAAGAAAATCACTAATGGTGATGATGGAGACGATGTGGTGTTGATTAAGTTCATGAGTGTCGCAATGCCTAACTTCTTTTATTTACGCAACGAGTTTACAAGCTACTTGGTCGATGATAATATCAATGGAAAGAGCTTCGTCATGTGTTGTCGCGAGAAGACGAAACAGGCTTGCGTCTATATTGTGAGGGGAGATATGTGCAGAACGATTAAAATAGAGAAAGTGGTTGGTGAATTACAACGCTGCTGTGTTTATGTTCCCAGCTTGATCCCCATCCCTTGAACAACAAGAACTTACAACTTTTTATCTTCTTGTTTTTTGGTTTTTAATTAGCAATCCCTATGTGTTCTTGTCATGTGTTCCGTCCAAACGGAACCAAAGATCCTAAGATTTATTTTAACATTATTTTTTTTGGGGTAATTGTGTTATGGGCTAGGCTCTTGTCATGTAATTCAGTCTACACTGAGTGACATGAGTCTTACAGAATGTAAGCAAGTATATTCCATCGTTTTTTTCTCTATTTTAGTGTAGTCAAAATGGTGATTAATGTATGGTCCTCTTTATCATTAAACGGTAAAATAGTGCTTACAAAATGTAAGTAAGTCCATTCCATGATATAGTGAATCCCACTTTGACACAGCAAATAGAGGGAGAGAGTGAGAGACAATGATGAAGGGAGAGAGCGCTCACCAAAAGGAGACGAAAATTCCCAAAGAACAACCCAAGAGCTTATAGAGAAGACAACACTGATAGGTCGTGCAACACCATGAAAAGTTTATGCTTCCGAGCATGTCCTGGGACAAGCCGGTCCATGGTTTAGGGAGGGATTCCATAGAGTTATGTAGGACATAAGGTGTCGATTCATGGATCACAAATTCATATGAAGAATGAAAAGCTGAGTACTATACAATATGCAGTTTTCATATTAAGGATACATAGAAAGCTCTTTAGGCTTAAGAAAATCCCACATTTTAACTTCATCACTGAAAGTGCGCATATATATTGTGATTATGGTTTGAAAATATCTTGTGAATTTACCATCAACTTGCAGAAAACCCTTCAAATAACATATTTTTGCAAGTTTACCATCAACTTGCAAAAACATGGCGATCAAACCACGGAGTTGAATTTAACCAACCTTCAAATGATTTTTTTTTTTGGAAGGTTTACTTTCATATACATAAACTTATAAATTTTAAAAATAGATTTTTACTCCTCCTTGAGGGCTTCGATTTGACATGTAATAATGTATCTTAATTTTCAGAAAAACTTGACAACTGTGACAACAAATTATATTGTAGATTAAGTTTTTCGTGGATTAATGTATTTTTTTGTTGTTGAAAAATTAAGGATAAACTTGCAAGAAAATGTCACAGGATTTTTTTTTTGTGTAGAAAACCCTTTCTATATATATATATATATGTATATATAATACATCTATATTATTTTTAAGTTTATATGACAAATATAAAACACATTTATACCCAAAAAAGAAACAAACTGATTTAAATGTAACTAAAATGACTGAATCCCCCCATGTTGAAAGGGGTGGGCATTTAGGTTTATTTTCAGATTTGGGTTCAGTTCGGTTAATTCGATTTCATTAAAAAGCTAATCAAACTCAACCAAACTTAATTCGATTTAGTTTGTAATTCGATTTAGTTTGTGTTTAGTTCAGTTTAAATCTAATTTGATTTGGTTCGATTTGGTTTGGTTAATTTTGTTTTAATATTAATTTGTTTTGCTTGATATATTATAAACAAAATCCAATAACTTACAAAAATAAAAAAAGCAACATCAAATATAAAAAAAAAAATGTAAACTTTATAACTTAAAAATAGTTCAGATTGGTTTGAGTGGGTTCAGTTTGGTTCGGTTTTTTGCCCACCCCATACCTTTAGGTCCTGATAAGACTCATACAGTAATTTGGTTGGCCTAATTCGGTTAGTAGAGGTTTGGTTCAAAGCTTGTGAAAATAAACCATAATTGAACCAAAGATACCAAATTATTTTTGGATAATTAGTACTACTGTGACTTGGTAATTGTCATTAGTGATATATATCTCTATATCCGGCAAAGTAGTGTTATTATATATTCATGCATACATCCCCACTTCTACACAACTAAGCCAAAACATAAACCAAAAGGGACAAAGAGAGACGGTAAAATTTATAGACGTTGCAGCATAAAGAGAGAGAGATGGATGGAGAGATAAAGAAAGCTCACCAAAAATAGAAACCAAAAGGAGCAGACAACTCCCCCAAAGAACTGAGATCCAGAGAAATTATATAGAGAAACCAAAAGGTCTGTGCGCAGAAGAGTCTTACGAGTGTAATGCCATGAAGAGGTTTTGCTTACGGGCATGTTCTGGGACAAGCCGGTCCAATGTTTCAGGAGAGATGCCAGAGAGCTCTGTAGGACACAAAGGTGTCAATCAATTCATCCAACACTTACATCAGAAGAAGAGTTGATGAAAGGATCACATATATATATAAAGATTGAAAGGTGAGTACTACAGAACACACAGAATCTTCATTTTAACCATATGAAGAACACATTAGAAGAGAATCCCACATTGTTCCATATTTTTTCCCTAATAAGGATTCCAACACAAGTAGAAGAAGAAGAAGCAATAGAGGAACCGTACCGTTTGGCTTAAAATTGAAAAGTGGAGGAAGTGGCCAACCGTTTGGGAGGCGAATGTTTGGATCTCTTAGCTCATCAAAGAAAGGGTGGATACAAGCTTCCACCTATAAAAACACCATGAGACATTTAATAATGGGTTTTAGGGCTTTCCCAAGTTGAATACAAACAAAAAGGTGAGTGTAAAATGTAACAAAATCAGACAAAAACCATGAATAAACTTACAGCTGTGCATCTCAAATTAGGAGAATATTGGAAGAACCTACACACAAGATCTACTGCTTCAGGTGGCAAACGTTTTTGGAATACCTGATAAGCACAAACACAATTCTTTTGATGTAAGAACAAGACCAGATGTAAACTCAAAGCAAGCACAAAAGCCCAGTTGTTTTCATTCCCATGAGTCAGTGACAGTATTAGAAGTTTCTTCATTTGTTTGCGTAAGAGTCCTATATACAGTAACTAAGACCACACAAATCATTTATCTCAATCCACAGTACTATGTCATTAGGTCATGTCTCTCAGTTAAGCCCTGACACATCGCTTTATACGCCAGAGGAACTAAATATGAAGTTAATTCATTATAAATACACTAATAAACCTCACTAAACGGAGATTAAACCCTAACAGGTTGCTTTATAAGCCAAAGGAACGAAATATGAAGTTAATTCCTCACATATACTCCAACCAACCTCACTAAGCGGAGACAACGATTGGATAGATATTTATGATACGATTAGTGGATTAATGGTTTTGGGTTTTGATGGTTTTCCTTTTAACAACTGGTTTGGTGTTTTCCTTTTTACAATAACTTAAAACGTTTTCCTTTTAGCATTAGGTTTTATGATTAAGTTGTATCGAGATCTATATAAGGATCTCTATTGATTAATAAGAGGGGGACTTCCAAGCATTAACCTTAATCTCCAAGAGAGACTAGGGTTAAAGGAAGCTTAGCTTAATCTCTTTGTTCTTCTTACGTTAATCACGGCTCCTAAGAAGAAGAAGTCACCTGCTCATACTACCAGACTTACACGAGCTCAAGCTAAAGCAAAAGCTGAAGCAGAAGCTCGTATCAATTTACACCTACAATCCAATAGCTATTACTAGTGGCATACCTTGTGCCAAGGATGAGGTTTAATCTGTGGAAATTTAAACTCCGTGTAGTTTGGATTCATGCACTTGATCTCCTCCCTTGTTGGTGTACCCAAAACCTGCATGACCCATGAAGAAAGATTATAAGAGATCCCGAAAAGAAAAAAGTTGGGGTACAAACTCCACTCAAACTAGGCAGTTCAAAGTTTATTGCGTTCTTTTTATATGAAATGTAAAAATAATAAGCAGTGAGCGGCAAGTCTGATTTTTCATTCAGAGATTAATAGTAAATAATATGCAAATAACTTGCAGCTGTAGTCTGGTATGAAAAGACTGGCAAAGACCTTTAAAATATAGCTTTTAATCTGATCCAACACATGTGATATTCTTTGCATTTAAAAATAATCCTACAAGAATCAATAACTATAATACTACCTTAATGGTTTCAACAAGCTGATCGACTCCACTTTCGCCAGGAAATAGAGGCTGAAACATCTAATAGGGTGAATTAACAGAATAACAAGCACAAATGCAATCGCTAATGAAAAAGAAAAAAAAAGCGCTTCGACCTGTCCAAGAAGTAGTTCAGCCATCACACAACCTGTGGACCATATGTCTATAGCAGTTGTGTACTCAGTAGCTCCAAAAATGAGCTCTGGGGCACGATAGTATCTTGAACAAATGTAAGAAATATTGGGTTCTCCTTTCACCTGTGGAGCAAGAACACGTCATAGTCAAGGCATGGACTAAGAAAACTAAACCACTAAGAGCTATATATAGCTGATAAACTTTACCAACACTTTTGCACTCCCAAAATCACAAATTTTTAGCTGGTGTGTGTGTGGATTCACCTGCACATCACAATAGGTGTAAAGCCAAATATAAGCTCAGTTTAATCAAACACTATTCAAGACATATTTTAATAAATTGCAGGTTTAGTGAGCAATTATTAAACAAGTTTAAATCACAAGAAATGAGACTTCCAAAGTTTTCAGCATCCTGCTTGAAGTGAAATCTCAAATCTCTCATCAACTTCTTGCAGTGAAAAATAAATGGATCTTACTAGCAGGTTCTGAGGCTTAATATCACGGTGACAAAGACCACAGCAATTATGAAGGTAAGCAAGCGCCCTGCAAATCTGTAACCATTAATATAAAACTCTCAAAAAACCATTGGAGAACGTCCAACAAACTACCAGGTCCGATTCACATTAAGTGTTCAATAGGAAATAATCACCTGATAAGTGTAGAGTTTGACATATATCAATGGCATCAGCTGGTTCACTCTACTATAGCTTCTCGCAGTACGATTGACAGTCTCGGGAACAAATTCGAGGACAAGATTCAGATAAACCTCTTCATTTTCTGTTCTTGAGTAGAAGCTATGCTTTAAACCAACAACGTTCGGATGGTCTAACATCTGCATAATCTGCAACTCTCTGTTCTTGTAGCGCTTGTCTTGTAGAACCTTCTTGATGGCAACAACCTCCCCAGTTTCTCTGCATTTCGCCTACCCACAAGTAAACATTAAAACGTTTGGTGGAATCTTATAACCCAATAGTAAGTAAGACAACAAGAAAGATAATCTTAACTTACTTGGAAAACCATTCCAAAGGAACCAGTCCCAACTACATGTTCGGCTATGTAACTGACTGTCTGTCAACCAAAGATAAAAAAAAAACATTTGTATTAGTATAAGAATCATTTAGATAACAACATTCAAGAGACAAATTTTCCTATAACCATTTAACCTGTCTCGATTGACCATTTCGTCCACGGAGTGTTGTTCTGATCACATGGCCAGGTTCTGCACCAGCTCCATCAATGATATCTGGTTCACTGTCCTGCAACATAGCAAAAACATCAGATACATGTTAAACTACATCATACAAGAAGCAAAGAACAGTTCAAGGATGAAATAAGCAGACAAGATAAGCTTACTCTCTCCTCATCAGCATCTGTCTTGTCCCTTATCCTCATCTCAAGCATATCTCTGTTCAACCAATCAACTGAACTAGAAGTGTTCTTTACAACTTTGGCAGATCTCGAACTGCCTACTCCATTTCCGAGGCGAGACTCCATGGTGGTTGTTCTTAAGATAACACTTACTAGTATTTGACAGCACCATAAGCCTTAGCATGTTGGTGTCCCATCCCATCAAAGCACCGATCTTTCCTAATAGAACTTTTTTGTTCGTTTTGCATTAAGAGAAAAAGAAAAAAGTTTAGATCGTTGGAAAATGATAAAACAAAACCAAAGTCACTAGCTTTTATTAATCCTTTATCAAATAAAATATCAGAACTGCAGAAAACAGAGAAGAAGAACATGAAAAGTCACAAAGATCTCTAATTGCTTAAATTCCCATGATCAAATTAATACTAAAATTTCAGCCAACAAAACAAAATGAAAGAAAGAAGAGACATATTAGCAGAACATATGGAGCATTTACATGTGAGCAAAGAGAATAAGTAAAAAACAAAGGAATCAAACGTAGAATAATTTATTATGAAGTTATTATGATCACACATAGAAACACGAAAAGTCAAATTCGTAATTAAAGTTTCAGCTTTTTCAGAAGCACCATTGAAGTTTGAAATAGTGGCGATACAGTGATAGTTCCGTAGGACTAAAATGTTTCCACTTTGAAGAATTGAAACCCAGAAGAATCATGACAAAACCAGATCTATTCTCAACTAAAGCTACAAAGGCTTGTCCTTAACTCAGTTTATACACTAACAAAACCGAGAAAAACATAAATTCCTCCAAAAAAAGGGGTCAACATTGCATATTTAAAAGCAAAAGAAGGGAAATTCGAAGCGGTTTCGTGAGGTTAAGAAACTGAAGATGAATCGATTACCTTGAGCTGAACTGAAGAAGGAAGGTAGAATCACGGATTTGATGATTGGCTTCTTCTTTGATTAAAATAAAATCGAGAAGATTTTTCTGTTGATTTGATCACTAATAAATGGAAAAAGCTGATCACCAGATTTTTACTTGTTTTCTTTGTTTCTTTGTTTTTTCCCCCTTTTCTTTCTCTGTCGTTTCTTTTGTCGATTTGTTACCGTTTTTTGAAGTAGGAAAGAGGTTTAATAGATACCGCATACATTGGTTAATAGATACAGCACATTGGTTAACTCTACTTTAATCAGGTTAAAATTTCGATGCTTAATTTCTACTTGAAGTAAAAAAAAATGTGCATCACTTTTTGAAAAATAAAATCATGAATAAAATCTTAAGGAAGTCGACCGACCGACCACATAAAAGTATGCTAAATATTCAAACTTATGTCTAATCAATTCTTAGAAACCATCCATCTCATTTGAGTTTTTTTTTCTTCTGTTACAATTAGGAAGAAGTAAACATAAAGAAGATTTTATTTTGTTTCCTCAACATAGAGAGTATTTTAGATAGTGGAATTTGAACCCAAAAAAAAATAGTGGAAATGAAAAGTTTGAAAGATGTTATTTTCAACTTATGTCAAATAAAGAAACACAGGAGCCTGCTCTCAAGCTTAAAATTGACTTATCTTTTTTTCATTAAACTAATGAAAATTTGGTTTCATGCATTAGACCATGATGGTGGATTACTAGTTTTCAATGTTCGTTAGATAAAAGTGGTGTAATGCATTAATGCTTGATCTAAAAATTTGAGCATTAGACCAATTAGTAGTATATTACTGTAGTCTTCAGTTTTCACTTAGCCATGATGTTCAAATTTGGTTTAATTTCTTTTAAATATGATTTTTTTTTTAATACCACGAAGTTGAAAACCGAAACCCACATATTCATGAGTCGAGGCTGGACTCGTGATATGCATTTTTTTAAACCATTTTCATTTGGTAAATTGAAATAGTATTATGGTTTACATCTTTTTTTTTTTGATCAACTATTAAAAACTATAGTGTCTCAAGAGGAGGTACATACAATTACACTCAATTTTTAAAAACTAGTCAAATAGTAAAAACTAAGATAATTCTTTGATTATTATGGTTTTGATTTGTAACACTTACGGAATGGCGGAATGACAGAAAAATGTAAAAACGCAAGAATTTTGTTAATCAAAAAACTTGTGAAAAACGTAAATACGCAAGATCTGTGGGATTGCGTTTTTGCTTACAAAAAAATACAAAGAAATCTTTATTAAACGGAAAAGTGTGTTTGAAGTAAATTATTTGCGGAATCAATGTTTATATTATTCAATTATATAATTAATTATATTTTATTATTTAAATAAATACAAATAAATAATTTAGTGTTACAAAAAATCTATTTAATGATAAAGTTATATCTATTATTTAAGGTTTGCAATATTTTTTAAAATTTTATATACTTTTTTGATTTTGAAAAACAAATTATTAAAAAATTATAATAAGAATTATATCATTTTATAATAATTGATTGAATTATTAATATTTTATTTTTTTATAATATATAGTAAAAAACATATTTTAAATAATCATATTCTGTCATTTCATCATTCCGCCATTTTGCATAATTTATCCAATCGTGTTAAAAAAAAATAATTCTGCAAAAAGTTATTTCGTAATTTTTTTTTCCGCAATTTCATAATAACAAAATTGTATTACCACGTATATTTGATTGCTCACTTTATTTGATTTGCTATATAATATGTATCCTTTAGAAATACAAATTTCATTGATTACAATATTCAATCAAATGAATAGATTGGAGATTGACTTACAAGATAAAGAAGAATAATAAAATGTTCTTTAAAAACCCAAAAAAAACAAAATACATTTGACATGAGAGACTAAACTTCAACATTGTTCTCTCCTTGGTTAAGTTTCATCATCTCCTTATTTTTCTTGTATAATGAGCAGAAGTAAGATCCTAATGCCAAATGTGTTCCTATCAAAGCACTTATACTAGGCCAACTAAACTCATCATCCATAAAATCAAATGCCAAAACAACAACCAAAACCACAAGTGGTGAAGCACAGATATGTACAACATCACCAAACACACCTGAAACATAAAGCATCAAACCTATCAACCCGACTGCCCAAACCTGCCACGACAAAGCTAACCTGACCAAACTCAAAACGTAGTATGTTTCCCCTATCTTAAACCTCTTTCTATTACCTTGCAACTCCTTAAACTCGCCACTAGCAAACAAACCAATGAGACAAACAACCAAGGCAATAAAAGAGACACAAATTTGCATCTCTAAGACCATTATAAACACTTTTTTGTTACCATATCTTTTTGTCTTCACCAAAAGTTTCTCGAAACCAAGTTGGAATAAACAAAGAGATAATGCCAAAGCAACTGAAGCAGCAAAGGTTAACCAAGCTTGGATGCTATGGTTTGATTCGTGCTCAGCAGGCTCTCCTCCAAATGCAGGATTGCCAAAAACATATACCACAATAGTGAGGATTATAGATATGATGATCCATCAGTTAAACTACAGTTTATAATGGCTGTGAAAATCGCTGTAAATATCAATTGTGTTGTGGAAATTAACGTGAAGCTGGCATAGTGTGCGTATAATTTCCCGAGTGCGAATAACTTGCTATGAGCAGCAACAAGAACACCAAGAGATAAGTAAAGTAAAAGGAGACGAAATGAGAGGAAACAAGTATTATTGGTTTCATGGTTTGGTTTAGGTGAAGGGAAAATAAAAAAGAGAGGGATAAGGATTGGAAACGCAGCGTTTTGGATCAAAGCTTGAGTTGGTCAAAGTTTTCTCGATTGTCTTGGACATAAAAGAAGTTCAAGAGAAGCATGACGAGAGAATCTCCGAGGCAGACTAAGAAAGAACATATCGAAACAGAGATCCACCATTTTCTTTGATTTAGCAACACGGATCTTCTTTGGCTCAAGATTTGGTCTGGTTCTGGATTCTGAACTTGTTCTGATTCTTCTGATAGTTGAAGACAAAAAAATTAGAATTCTCATTGTTTATTAGATATAATAATAGTAGAAGAGTTAAACAGTCAAATTGCCATTTCTTGTCAATTGTTTGGAAGCTTCTGACATCTCTCTGAGTCTTTTCTCTGGTCTCGGACTCTGAAGATTTTATTAATATTTTCCATTCTTTTTTTTATACCAATTTGAGAGACAGCGTCTCTCAATCTTTATTCCAGTAAAACAAATTACACTCCTAAATTACGAGCGATAGTAGTCTCATTAGCGTCATCCCACAAAATCGGGATGAGACTTTCAGGCACAGAATCGAAAAAATGAAATCCTAACGGTAATGAAAAAGCATAGTTGGCTAATCTATCTGGTAGACGATTATCTTCCCTATACACATGCGAGATCCGGACTATCCAGTCTCTCGATATAAAGCTATAGCACAACCGTACTAGGAACGACAAAGGATGTTGATCACTTATCCCTTTCGTCAAGAAATCCACCACAATTTTTGAATCCACTTTCAGCTCCAATCTGGAAACTCTGCGATCCCAAGCGATATACAAACCATAATATACGCCCCATAGCTCGGCTAATGGAGCAGAGCAAAATCTAATATTCAGCGCGAATCCACCACACCAATCCCCTCTTCCATCCCGGAGCACCCCACCTGTTGTCGCGAACCCAGGATTTCCCCTCGACGCACCATCTGTATTCAGTTTAAACCAATCACCCTGCAGCGGCAACCATGCTATCCATCTTTCCTCTCGAACAGACTGCTGAGTGTGTTGTCCCAGTTTTTGGTGCGCTCTCGTAACCTCCTGCGCTTGTTCTCTCAAAAACTTGACCCTATCTGGGCACTGTCTGATTGAACCAAAAACATTCTCGCAGCGCCATTTCCAACCCCACCACACACCAATTGCAAACACAGTTGATTCAGCTCCCCCAGACTCTCCAAGATTCTCGTATAACCATTCCAATAAGGTTTGATTAAAAAAGTGCCATTGGCGACGCTGTGGTACAATTCTCTTCCAAATCCTTTCCATTGCTGGACAATCCCGAAGCACATGTAAGATCGATTCTTCCCCTCCCTTGCAAACTTGACACACCTTCGTATCACTCAGGTGTCTCCTATAGCGCTCCATGTTTGTCATAATCACCTGGTGTGATACTAGCCAGAGAAACAATCTGATTCGTTCCGGTACC